CCGCTAGTTCCCTTGTCCTCCCCTCCCTCTCTTGCACTCCCTTCTACCGCGCCAGTGTCATTTACGGGCCTCCTTCCCTCGGTCGATGTACTTACGGTGAGAAAGCTATGCGTTAATCTTCACGGAGCTGTTTGAAATGAGAAAGGATAATTATGCAAGAATGACTGATGCTTTCTCATTAGCGGAACTTGGTAAGCAGATTGATGTGTTTTGAGCTTTTCCGGTGCACTGTCCAAAATTTTCGCCTGAGTTTTCCGTGCCAAATCCCGAAAATTTTCATCATCTGAAATTTCAGGACATCTTGCCATCGAAAAATGGAATATTTCATTAATTTTCTGATTGAATGATCGGAAAATAAAAAAATACTTGATTTTTTAGCTCAAGTATTCCATGAAAATTCGTAATAATCCGGAAAATTCAGGGAAAAATTCTAAATTCATGGCACTTTGTTTCTGAATATTCATGCTCCATTAAAAATTCAATCAAGTTGTGAAATTTCCGTCCCACTCCAACTGAAAACTCATGAATTTCCTTGAATTCTATTTAAAACTTGGAATTTCATTCCCATTTTTCCCCTAAACTGATTCAATGTCACAGTCATGAAAATTACTACAATATTTTCCATGGAATTGCAAATAATTTCTAACAGTGTGACGTATACTGTTTGCTGCCGGAAAAAAAATGAAATTCCATCCACAGTTGGGTAGTGACCGTCGGAAGAATGACATTGAATACGATTTAAAGGGGAAAAGCCATAAAATTTGAGATTTCACTGAGAATTCGATGACATTTCCTATTTTTGAGCAACGGGAAGACGAGAATTCCCAAATTTAATTGGATTGTTAACAAAAAAGGACAATATTCAGTACCAAATTACGCAGAATTTTCCATTAATTGATCATTCAAGCATATCTTTATCTGGAATTTCCTGCTTATAAGTTTTCATAGAATAATTGAACTGGAACTCACAGTTTCCATTGGTTTCTCCATCAAATTTGCCATTTTCAATAACGAAGTCCCTTGAAATTCCCGTGTCACACAAGTTGCGGATGTTTTTTTCCGTGCGGAAAGCATAAAATTTAATTTTTTTTCACCAGTGCATGTAGTTCAAACCCGGTACGTTAGAAATTCCATAAAATCAAGAAAATTGCTGTATCGAATTTTCCAAGGACGAAATCCCCACGGTTTTATGATTTTTTAATCCCATATCGTTTTGTTAATTTTTTTTCAAACTGTTCCCTCGTGCGCTTTTGATAATCTTGCCTCTATTTTCAATGAAATATAGTTCAATTGTCCAGGTATTTCGTTCACCTGACTTTTAATTAAACCCCCATGTAACAAGTCCAATAAAGATTCCATCGTCACGTCCTACCCTTTTCCACTCCGCCACTGGTTTAATATCTCAAGAATGATTTATTCATCATTACGCAACGCTCATTAATATATTTTTCACACTTATGACGCATTCATACACGCACTATGAATTAAAAACAACAGAGGAGATTAAGTTGAATTATGACATTACTTATTCTCATTAAACGATAAATTCCTTATAACTCAGTGCTACACCCCCTGAAACCCAACGTTTATGAATTTATCAATAACAAATTATTCCCAGACCCCCGACGATACCAACAATTTCATTGTAACGTAATTGAAATTTCGCCGGGAACTGTTGAATTTATGTCTGATCTGATTGATAAACAGCCAGTGCCAGGAGATTGTTCCAATCCCACGACGATCGAAAGTTCAAGGTCAGATAACCCATTTGATTTCCGTTGAGTGTCACGTTTTGGTGGCTGTGCGCGCCTATCACAATGCCCGGGAATGTATTGATAACAAACGGTATTTCCTATTAACCCAAAATCCCAACGGAAATACGTAAAACATTTTTCCACCAGAGGACATTTTCGTGGTGACTGGACATTTCCATTTGGTTATGATGAACAATAAAATTCTAACGCATCTATGTTTAAATAAATCTACAAGTGCGCAGAGAGAAAATGTTTTTAGTTATCAGAACCAAGTTGTTAATAGGATATTTAGTGGCATAACTTACCGAAATATTTACTTTAAGTAATACTGTCCGCCACAACTGTTCGGTTAAATTTTAAGTATTAATATTTTCATTCATCGACTTTCTGTACGTTTTGATTTGATCCTGCAACTGGTCTTGTGCTGTCGGGTCTTTATGCACTGCTACAAATTTTCATCTGAATTTTCCGTGCCAAATTCCGGAAATTTTTATCGTGTTCAAGTTCCACTAACATTTCAGGAGATCTTGTCATTGAAAAATGAAATATTCCATTCATTTTCTGTTCAAATGATCTGGAAATCAATCAACTACTTGATTTTTCAGTTCAATCATTCTGTGAAAATTCAGAAAAATCAGGAAAATTCAGGGAAAAATTGAAAATTTATGTCATTTTTTTTCTAAATATTCATGTCCTACTGAAAACTCATGAATATCTGTGAATTCTACTTAAAACTTAAAATTTCATAACCATTTTTTCCCTAAATCCGATTCAATGTCACTCTCATGAGATTTACCATAATATCTTCCATGAAATTTCAAAAAATTTCCAACAGTGTAAAATAAGAATGCAAATGAAAATACGGCGCTAATACACGACCCTGCGGCTTTGGTCACCTCTGCAGCGATGCGCCACCGTGTTATTCAGGTTTCAGTGTTGCCGAATTTACTCTACGATGCCCGGGCGCGTTCAGCGCCCTTCTGGCAACGCCGGGCAACGGGCGTAAAGGAGATTCCGCAATGAAACGCAACGCAGGATTAACGCGACACGCGCAATTGTTTGAATCAATCATTTAACTGTTTTCCGATCATTTGCGTCCATTGTAGAATCTCCTTAACGACGCGCTACAGTGTTTCCGGAAATTCACGGATTTCTCCGTAACAGTATTCCTGAAAATGTCACGTAAATGAGTCGTCGGTAAAAATTTCTAGATTGTCTATTTGAATTTCCAGAGTTTTTCTCTAACAAGATGATATTTAGATACACGTGTAATCATTCACATTTGCAGTTACAGACTCCATTAAAATAGATAAATGCATTTGTAAGGTAATTTCCCATGATGCAGCCCATCATAAGCCGCACTTCCTCCACATCGATAACGAAAGCTCCATAAATCACGGAATTTCAACACGTAATGTGCATCAACTAAACGAGTATAACATGATTATTATCAAAATTGCGCAAAAATTATCATCTCCTACTGTGACATGGAGTGATCTTGTTTGCGTTGATGGTTGCATATAAATCTGATCAAGCTGTCCTTATTTATTGGCCATTTGTTATGCTCCTGACTAGTGGCTCTTCCGTTTGAACTCGTGGGCCCAGTGTTTATCATGCACGCAAGAGCCTTCAATAACATTGCTACATCACTTCAGGGGGTAGTGGACGCTTCGATCCGCTGGGGTTCTAGTTTATCGCCTGACCCCACTGTGTCACACTATCGTGAATAAACAGTTATGAATGTACATTCTAGAAATCTCTTGGACTCTCGTGTTATTGCAGAGCGAAGTCATATTCGTATTATTAAAGCATGAGTCGGGGTACAACAATACTTATTGCGGTAGTGTGATTGATGTAAATGAGGCATGTTGTGAGCTAATTCACGTATTGTTGGCTCAGCGTATGTGGGATACATTGTTTTGATGGGTTCCGAGTGGAATGCTATCTGCTCGGTTTAATCGGATTCTTCTAAATTTATCGCTTATTTACGTCATGATGGCTTACTTAACTATTGCAGAGTTTGCATTTTCTCTATTCTTGTTTCTGATGAAATCAGTCGGGACAAATACCGGATAAATTTCAAAGGAAATTCGCCGGTTAAATTTAAGTCCTTTAAACTCATTCATTTCCGTTTACCTGCGTTGGACATATTAAACTAATTAAATACTATTTTAGGGGGGCTGTAACATTTCTCCGGAAAACAATCAAACACGACAGCTTTCCTATTGTAATTTCTACCTTTGAGATCATACATGAGGGGAATATTTCACGTAGGTTATACTCCTGATTGGAAGGTCAGCAGAGAATGAGATTTCCTACAGCAGGAATTATATTAAGAATTCATTATAGACCATTATGTCACAGAACTTTATATCCTACACAAGGAGAAATGTAACTTTTTGTTATGAAACTTTTCGAATATGAAAACTTTAAAAAAATTTCTATGAAGGTGCGAATTTTCTAGAAATTTTCTAGGGCAATTCATCCAAATTCCATTATTCCATTTTTGTGGAAAATCCATTAAACACTGAGAAAAAAAGGATTTTTTGAGAAGTACATCTTTACTTGTGCACAGCAAACAAAAAATCGGTGTTACAGTCTCTGGTGTGAGGGGTTAAATATTCCGGTATTAAAATTGACTCTCTCGCCGGGAGTCAAATTTTGGTATGGAGTCAATTTTTATTTTTCACATCAAACTGTGTTGATTAATATGTTTATTTTGACACCATGGCAGGGCCAATTTTCACTCCACTGGATGTGTTTCATTCCGGAATGAATTAACCACGGACGAAAAAATTTAATAGAAAAATCTCTCGAATTCGTTAGAAAAATCTATTGAATTTCTATTGAACTGTTCCATTAGTTTTTGGCCGATTCTATTGAAATGTTCTATAGAAAATATTCAGTGGAAAAAGTCAATAGAATTCAATTTTTCTATATAACTTATTTTATTGAGATATTGTCTATAGAATTTCCTCGGCTCAAATTTTATAAGTTTTTTTTGTTTGATTTTCTTGATGAGAAGAAAAGAAAAATAGACTGAAAAAAACTTGGAAAAATTTGAGTCGAACAAATTCTATAGAAAATATATGAAAAGAATAAGTTATATAGAAAAATCGAATTCTGTTGACTTTCTCTATCGAGTGTTTTCTATTGAACATGTCAATAGAATCAATCAAAAACTGATAGAAAGTTTAATAGAAATTCAATAGAATTTTCTAACGAATTCGATAGGTTTTTCTATTAAATTTTTTTGGTGCCGGACTCCATACATTCACACCGAAAATCGGTGTGGACTTATTTTCAGTCGGTTTGGTGTGGTTCCAGAGCCGAAATTCACTCGGGATTTTTTACTGTGTATCGAGAAACTCATGCAAAAAGAAAATATCTCACACTGAGAAAAGAAGCCGTTCGTCAAAAGACTTTGTACTTGTTTGAAAGATGAGAAACAATTTGTTCACAACAGGAAAGCATCATCTGGAACCGAGACCAGTGATTTTTGCATTAAAATATTTTGAATTTGAGTTACTTGACTCAAACTCAAAACACTTCGATAATTTTTCTCCACCTTTTCTCTCCACGTACAGTCCAATCCTACACTGGTCTTTTCCACTTTAATCTCAAAACTCAAATTGACGTGATCTAAAAATCATCCCAGCCCAATGCTGATTCAAAACGGAAGACATTTCAAAGAACAAAAAAATAAATAACATAACTGATAAAGAGAGCGATCAATAGGAGCTAGGGCAGCACTTGAAACCAGTCGAGTCACCTCCAGATGGTGCATGTATTGTCTTTGCTCGCTGTGACAATGGTGTCACCATTGTACGAGAAAGCACAACTGAAAACGTCGTCGGTATGTCCAGCCAGAGTCTGCAAACATCGTCCTGCCTCGGTTGACCATAGACGCGCGGTTCTGTCCAAGGATGAGGTCAGCAATTGATGACCATTTGGACTGAAACAAACTATTTTCAAAGTCAATTCAATTAAAGTTAAAGCCAACTCCGGTGGGGTAATTCCATTATTGGTTTTGTGAAATTAATGAACTGGTACTTTTTGATACTTCCTCGTGGTGGCCCTGGAGTACAGCAATCTCTTTAAATTCACCGGTAATGTCCCACAAACGGGCGGTCGCATCGCTACTGGCAGTGGCCAGTCTTGACCCTTGATTATCAAGCGCCACATCCAAAACTTCGTCCTCATGGCCCGAGAGGGTACCGAGACACGTGTTCATCCTGGCATCCCAAATTCTGGCAGTATTGTCCAAGGACGATGATGCTATTATTGAGCAGTCGAAGCTGAATATGCAATTTGATATTTTAGCATCGTGGCCAACTAAAGCACTCGTGCGTCTGCAAGAGGAATCATTGAGGGCTCATTTCATATCCTAATTAGTGGACGTATGAAGCACTTTGATAGAATGACCTAGCGCTTTCTCGGAGGAATTCTTTCAGTAATTCTGTTCAAAATTTTCGTCTGAATTTTCCGTATCAAATCCCGGAAATTTTTATCATGTTTAATTTCCACTGAAATTTCAGGAAATGTTGTCATTGAAAATTCAAATATTCCATTGATTGTCTGTTCGAATGATTTGAAAATCAGTAAAATATTTGATTTTTCAGTTGAATTATTCTGTGACAATTTGGAAAAATCAGGAACATTCAGGGAAAAATTGAAAATTCGTGTCATTTTGTTTATGAGTATTCATGTTCCATTGAAAACTCAATCAAGTTGTGAATTTTCGTTTCACTCCCACTGAAAACTCATGAATTTCCTTGAATTCTACGAAAAAATTGCAATTTCAGAAACACTTTTCCTCTAAATTGGATTCAATGTCATTCTCATAAGAATTACTACCATATGTTCCATGAAATTTCGAAAAATTTCTAACAGTGTACCACTTTGGCTTGAATTTTGTAATGGAGTTTTTTTTGTAGAAAAAAGTATGAACGATGATTTTTCTGGATAATTTACGCTGCTGGGATTGTCTCTGTAGAATCCTTGAGTTTAAATTGAGAAACAACAAAAAATACAGCGGAAGATGCGGAAAATTGATTGTGAACCATTTCTGGAGAACTAATCTGAATCGATTTTTGTAGAATTAAAATAGAAGCTCGAAAGAATTCCGTAGAAAAAGCCCTATATTGTTCTATAGAATTTCTTTCATACGTGTGATTTTCATAACGAATAAAAGTTTGTAGCTTCCAGTTGATTTTTAGCCTCTTTCATGAAAAGTCAAGAAAAGTAGAGGAAAAAGACTAAGAAAATTCAAGTCGAATTCCGATAGAAAATGTTTCGATAGAAAAAGTATAGAAAGCTGAAATTCCAGTGATTTTCCCTATAAGATAGTTTCAGTTGAATATAAATAAAATGAATATAATAATAAAATGTCCAACCGAAATTCAACAGAATCTTCTAGCGAATTGACTATATTTTTCTATAAAAGTATTTCGTGCGTGAAACCATGGCTCTCTGAAAATCAATAGTTCTGCTTCGAATGCTAGAAACTTTTCTTCTCACTGTTCACGTCCAGATAATTACGTGTACGTCCTAGTGTCCCAAATACCAATACTACCGTCGAACGACCCAGTTATTATTTGATTGCCATCGTCATTATATTGGAGCGCAATAACTTCACCTCTATGGCCCTTCAACGTACCCAACTGCTGACCTGCAGGGGACACAGATTCCTCAGCACATTGAATACCCCGAGCGATATATTTATTCAATGAATGAAAAATCTGGGAGTACCGGATTCTGTATGAAAAATTTTTCCAGTTCCATCCATAGATCCAGTGGCAACTCTGGTGTGGTTAATCGGTGAGAATCTGACCACAACTACCTCGGCGTCGTGGCCCCAAAGACTCACAAGACAATTGCCAGTTCGTGAGCACCAGACACTCGCTGTTTTGTCGAATGATCCAGTCACGATTTTATCACTGTCATCGATTCAAGAAAAATTGGTTTTTTGCCTGATACGGTTAAAGTACTGCGTTGTTACAATTTTTGTTTTGTTTTTTTTTCAACGCTCATGGAGCAACTCACGAAGTCGGGTTGTTGAAGGACACGGCATACACTACGTTCTTGTGGCCTTGGAGAGTAAGAAGCTCCGTTCCACTGTCAATGTCCCAAACTTTACAAGTTCGGTCATAGCTGCCCGTCAGGCATCTGTCAACGATGCGAACAAGATTGAAAAGAAAAATAATCTTTGTGATTGATTGATTGATTGATTGATTGATCGATTGATTGATTTCAACAATTGAAATTACTCATCGTCTGGGCCATTTTGACAGTGAATTACGTGAGAATAGAAACAGGAAGTCTTTTTACGATTCCGAATGCAAATTTACTCTCGATCGGGCCAATTTTATTCTATAGTGGCAGTGTCTATTCACATACTCCACTCCGTAATTTCTACCGCGGATATATGGGAGATCGTGGACCCTTAACTTTTACTTCTCAAATTAAATCTATACAGTGAACTAGACACATCGAATCAATTAATAAGTGATATGCAGATAGTAGACTAGTAAATAGTTTCTTCGAAATATTAATTCGTTGAATACGAGTATCAGTCTAGATTAACGCAAATAAAAAATGAAATAAATAGTTTTTTACATTTTATGTGAACGTTTTCTCGACAATCATCATATTTGTCTAATCGGGTCCGAGTGCAGGAGTGGGTGCCGAAATATAGTGCTAATGATTTTAAGGGTGATTTCCCACACGGACAGAATTTTTTTAGAAAAATTCTAGTCCTAGCACGGGAAAAGAGGCGCAAAGTGACGCCAGGAAAAAATTCCAGTGACAGGCACTAGAAATTTTATTGGGGAAAACGTGAATTTTTCCCAGTATTTCTGTGAAAATTTCACAGAAGTCCCCAGAAATTTTACCTTAACAGCACTAGAATTTTTCACAGACGGTGGATTGTGATTTTTTCCAGTACTCGTACTAGAATTTTTCTAGAAAATTTCTCTCCGTGCAACCGGGGGAAACCGGGGGTCGCGAAATGGCGTGCAAATGATTCTAAGAATGATTTTCGAACCAGGGGAGACTCCTAAAAACGTCTCATTTTAACACATTCGAAATTTTAATCATCACTTCTGTGTCTGCACTGAGAAAAAAAATTATTTTACCAAATATTCATTTACTTGAGAAAAGTATTTATTTTTTCAAAATTGTATTTCTCCAATCGAGACACATGACCTTGGATGAACTCCTCCAATGATTATTCATTTATCCTAAATTTCTTATTTTCTAGAGGAAAGACTTTCCATTAATCTTTTAATGTTGATAATTATTGAGGCAATTCACGCAAGGTCATAAGTAACATGATCATCTTCTAGAGTAATATAATTATCATAATCGAAACCTAATGAGGATTGCGTGGAAATGACTCGACTGGAGAAATATGGTATTGACAAAATAAATAATTCTCTCAAGTAAATGGATATTTGGTAAAAATAATTTTTGTTCTCAGTGTAATGTCTCAAGTTGAGTTTTTAATTAAATGTTTCTCGTATAAAACCTATCGAACTGATATGGGATACATGCCATTCGCTTCGCTCAAGAAATTATAATATTTTCATGAAATGAGATCCTCTCGACTCAGTCTATTCCGAACACAAAATACCCCAGACAACGAGCAATATCAAAAACATGAGCGTAGTCTCCGCGATCACGTCTTCTTCCATCTAATCATAAAACCCCCCACAAATCATTCATACAAATATTGAATAATTGATGCACAACATGAGAACTACCTTTTACCTAATTTATCAAAGCCAATGTTAGTCAGCGGTAGAAGATGGGTCTGCAGTGTCTTATATTTGTAATAACGCTTTACACTCGTGTCGCATACTTTACTCTGAAGCCTCTGCAGTGTCTCCTCGAGCTGATCCATCACACTCTCCGTTATAACCGGCTCAGCATCCTTTATACTCCGTGCCAAAGCTTTAATATCCGTTCTACGGTTTGAAACAAAAGGGGCAAAAGCCATAGCCCCCCAACGTAACAGAATAAAGTTTGACAATTTATCCAAAGTTTACAAATAAATTTTCCAACGCATTGTATTTTATTGTTTATTACTTTGCGGTTAGATCCAAAAGGTCAATCATCTTAGTTTTAATATCACCACCCTGTGTATACTCGAGTGCAATACCTAAGAAACAATGAGAGACTTTAAATTCTTCATTAGGGAAATAAAATGGAACAATAAAATGACACTTTGGTTTATTGAGTTTGAAAAGTCACTCAGGCGGGGTGGGGGAAAGGGAGATTACATTCACCGAGTGAACGTGCAATAGACATTAAATCTAATAAAAAACATTAATGATGCAGAAAGGAGTTTTAAAACTGATCGAATTCTTCGGGTTGAAGAACTGAAAAAACTCCTTACCTGGTGGAAAGTAACGCAGTAAAAACTTCAGTAGCCTCATTACCGATTCTTATCACGATGGAACAAAAAAAATATACATACACCACGAAGGAGTAAAAAAGAGAATAGAAAAGCCGTAGCAGGTGCGTTTAGAGCTTTTAAATTGATTGCACGTTTTTATGCGCAAAATTACAATTTAGCGGTGGCTGTGTTAATGAATAATTTAACGTAAATAACAACTTTTATCGCGAGGTGCTTTGGGAACTACAAGTTTTATTGAACAACCCGGGGTGGGACGAGGGGAACTGATGCCTAGGGCCTCTGACATTCCTGGGTTGGTGTCAGAGTTAAAGTGGAGCGTTACTAGGGCCACTGTTTGTTCGATCAAACAGACCTTGGTGGGACATTCAATGACGGTTTTTCATCTCTTGGGCGGAGGGTATTGTGTGCCCTTCGGACTGTCCTTCCATGCATGGGAAATCCTTTGAGGGCGTAAAATTAACAGTGACAGCAGTCGCGAAACTCAAAATTTTTATTTTAAGTCACTGCTGGTATTTTTTAAACTACACTCGTGGATCGAGCCTTTGATTTTGGGAATTCTTTGGTGTCGATGTCAATGAAATTTTGAGGATGTAGTTTTTATTCTGAGTAGTACTTCATATTTTGTAGGATGGGTGGGGATAATTTTTGGATTTGTAATTCTGTCTCGATATCATTTAATTCATTTTCGCTGGTATATTAAAAATTTAATCTGATTATTTTTCACGCGGCTAATAACTGAATCTTCATTTCAGAGGTAGAGAGTTGAATGAGCGCTCATTTCAGTTCATCTCATGTATAATCGACATAGAATGAGAAATCAAAATTCAAAATTTTTATGAAAATGCCTTGTTTTCATATTTGGTGGAATCGTTTAGAAATTTGAATTTAATTCGACGGAAAAAATGCTATTTTCCATTATGTATTATTATGTTTTCAAATTAAGAATATCTGGATTGAAAAATTGAGAACATTTTCCATCTTAAAATGATAATTTTTTATATTAATATGTCAAGTATGTCTTGACTTTATCTTTTTATCTCAATGTTATTCAATTCTTTTTTGCTATGAAGATAAAAGTTTAATCAGACATTTTTTCACATATCTAATAATTGAATCTTCATTTCACTTTAACTCAAATAATTAATCAGGTCGAATTAAATGTTTGGGTTGAAAAATGAAGACAATTCTTGATCTTAAAACGATACTTTTTCATGTTAATATGTCACCTATGTCTTGAATTTATATTTTCATCTCAATGTTATTCGATTCTTTTTTGCTATCAAGATAAAAATTTAATCAGACATTTTTCACACATCTAATGATTGAATCTTCATTTCACTTAAACTCAAATAATTAATCAGATCGAATCAAATGTTTGGGTTGAAAAATCAAGAAAATTCTTGATCTTAAAACGAAACTTTTTCATGTTAATATGTCACCTATGTCTTGAATTTATATTTTCATCTCAATGTTATTCGATTCTTTTTTGCTATGAAGATAAAAATTTAATCAGACATTTTTTCACACATCTAATAATTGAATCTTCATTTCACTTCAACTCAAACAATTAATCAGATCGAATTAAATGAGCCTCACTTCATTTCTTCTCATGCATAATCGACAGAAATGAGAAATTAAAGTTCCAAATTTTTACGGCAATAACTTGTTTTCACATTCATAAATTTGAATTTAATTTATGATTCTTTTCCAATCGATAAGGAAGAAACGACAGTATAAGTTCCACTGATAATGTAGAGGCCGATGTTATTCAAGTACGGAAAATACTGAGGGAGGAATCAACAGGTGGCGGCAGGAACGCCTTTTCGAACAACAAGGATCCATAACCTTTCCTTCACCTGTCAGCTGTTCAAAGTTGAAAAGCTCCAAAGTGATCACAACAACCGGTGAAATAAAGCTGTCGTCATAGCAACGGATTTATTGTTTTAATTTTCTGCGGATGAAGTTCCCAGTATCGCAACCCCACACAGTGTTTATTCATTCATTTTATAGTGTCGATTTTTGTTGAGGAAATAGAGAGAAATGTCTGGGGACGTTGGAGACCGGCTGATTTTCGAGGCCGAGTGGTTTGATACTGTTGCAGGATTCACTAAGAGATTTTATCTTTATTATTATCCGGCTGATAATGCTCTAGAACTAGTGAGTTAGAATCAGCAATTTTTAGCATGTAGTTCCACACCGGCACAGCATTTTCCTAATGTAAAATAAAACATCGAATATGTTGAGATAATTTTGTGGAGATAATTATTCTTCATTGACATTATCCCTCGTCGATCGTAATGAGAATTAATTGATTCGCAGTTTGACATAAGGAATAGGAAGACCTTTCTCAGGAGGACGAAATGCGAGGGCATTGGTCTCAAAGATTTATACGTGGGAACTGTTGTGACAATATTCTCGAGGCCAATGAAAATTACTGATGTGGCTGATAGCTTCACCAAAAGCAAATTGGGGGTCACCATACAGAAGTGAGAAATAGAGGCAAAATATCACGCTTAATTTTTTTGCAAAATTCATAACTCAGAAAGAAATTCATTCAATGACAGTAACATTGACAACAAAATAAATTTTAAAAAATGACAATAACAATTCAATTCAATTAATCAATACTTCAAAAAGTCAAGTGTCTATTTTGCCAACACATGCCCCTAGATAAGTCTTCTCAAATTATTGAATAAAACAGGTATTAACGCGCCAAGCTTCACCAAGAGAAAATTGGAGGTCACCATACAGAAGTGAGAAATAGAGGCAAAATATTACGCTTCATTTTTTTGCAAAATTCATAACTCAGAAAGAAATTCATGAGTTCAGATTACTCCAGGCACATCACAAAGGGAATAATTGTACTTTCTGTGAACAAAAAATTATCCCATTTTATTAAGCAGTCAATGACAACAAAATTAATTTTAAAAAATGGCAATAACAATCCAATTCAATTAATCAATATTTCAAAATAAGTCAAGTGTCTATTTTGTCAACACGTGCCCCTAGATAAGGCATGTCAAATTATTGAATAAAAGAGATATTAACTCCTTCGAAATTTCCAGAACATTTGGAATTCTGAAGCCAGACGTAATCAGTAAAATGGGAGAGATATTAAAAATTATCACAGCTCATGATCTCCACATCGCTAACATAAAAATGGTTAAACTCTCTGAGTTTGATGTGGAGAGGCTGTACAAAAACGATGATAATTTTGGGTGAGTGAAGGTACCAAAAGTAGTAATAACCGTAAGAGATTTCCGTTCAAATGTCGAGTAGGAAAGAAAATGAAGATTGAAGAAAAAATTCTGAGCGACAGAAGATTAAATGAATCCCTCTATTGTGTGAGGGAGATTCATTGAACAATAAACAATTTGCAATTCCTGGAGATTACCCACTTTTCCACGCTATAAATCATCTCATCTATGACAAAAAATGTGAAAATTCTAAAGTTTATCAGAACTCGTTTGAATATTTCCTCCTTTTCATTTGAAGAAAGTGATTGTTTGCAAAATGTAATTCAAATAGCACTGATTATCCATGATTTTTTCAATTTTTTTCTCACGCACTTTCATGAAAACATTCGATGTTTGAGAATCTTCAAAAATAAAATATTGTTCGTGTGCAATCGTATGAGTGAGATTGCATATGCTTCAATTTTAATTCATTTCTAATTGTCCTAAAATGTTGATTGAAATTCTAAAAACTCTATTCAGCTCAATCAAATCATATCTAACGTCCGATCCAGTCGTTTTACTGACGTTATTAGGAAATAACGCAGTTGCTCGCTGGAGAGAATTAATTGCCCCCACAAATACTGTCAAAGCAAGAGGAGAAGCATCAAATTCCCTGAGAGCTCTCTACGGAAAAGATGCTATTTGCAATGGATTCCATGGGTCCTCGAGCCCTGAAGTGGCAGAAAAGGTACAATCCGTAATTAAACCCAATCCAACTAATCAACAAGTCGTATCAAAAACCTTAAATGTTTGATTAATTTCATTCAAGGAGTTGGAAATGTTCTTTACCAATGTCAAATCAGAAAAGAGTCCTTTAAAAAACACAGCAACAATGCATCACTGTACTTGCTGTATTATTAAACCCCACGCCGTGCAGGGACGACTGACCGGTGAGTCACGATTGATACTCATAATCATCATTTGAATCAGTAAATACTATTTGAGACTGCAAAGTAGCGGAGTCACTCCATTGCCACTCATTTGTATGCGCAGGGGATATTGTATGTGATATACAGAAGGCTGGCTTCACAATATCAGCGATTCAGAGGTTTCACGTTGATCCTATCAATGCTGACGAATTTTTGGAGATTTATAAAGGGGTCCTGAGTGATCATGGCGTAAGATTACTCAATCATTAATACTTTCATTTCGATTTTCTGTATTTTTATTAGGAAAGATTAATTTTTAAAGTTTTACATGGACTTCCTTCATTTGCCGGATACTACAATTCAAAGAAATATATCAGATATATATTTTTTAATTAAAGATTAATTAAAGTTTTACATGGACTTCCTTCATTTTCCGGATACTAAAATTCAAAGAAATATATCAGATATATATTTTTTCATGTAAATAAATGACAACTTGGTTTTTTGTTATTCAAAAATAAGAAACAGGTATCCAATTTAATTTTTGTTACTGAACTCGGTTTAGGGGAAAAAAATCATAAGATATTAGATTTCACTGAAGATTCTATGAAATTCCAAATTTTTAAGCAGCAGAAGACAAGAATTCCCCTAATTACTTGAATTTTCAGTCAAAACGTGAATATTCAGGGTAAATTACGCTTGATCTTAAATTAATTAGAAATGTATTGATCTGAATTGTCCTGATGTCTTTTTTAGTTTCATCGAATAATTGAATTGAAATTTAGGTTTTTTATGATTTCGATTTGGTTTTTAACTTCTCGTATTTCATAGATTCATTTAGTCAAAAACATTAACGCTCAACTCAGTTTAATTTCGTTCTCCTTCTGTGTAAATACGCGTTCATTGAATTTTTTCCTAGGCCATGGTGGCTGAACTCCAGTCAGGTCCATGCATAGCAATGGAGATAACTCACAAAGACGAGAATGTGAACGTTCCCCTCGAATTTCGAAAACTCTGCGGACCAATGGACCCCGTGAGTTTCGCTGGACTTTGTTCCTCAAGGTTAAAGTAGCTCTACCGTTACAAAAAAATTTGAAGATTATTAACGACTGCAAGCAATTTCCAGAAACCTATTACATTCGCAATCGTAATTTTTTTTCTAAATTTAATGCCCATCCTTTCTATTTTTTTAAGGAAAAAACTTTGAAAAATCGGGATTTAACCCAACGTGTTATGAGAAAACTAACATTCTCACTAGGATTAAAGACTGAATCCTTTCTGTAAATCTGATCTCTTTCTCATTAGATGTAAAAAATCGGTAAAATTTTTCGACACATTATAAAAAAATGATCGAACAAGTTGTAAACAAGGTCCATTATTTATTTATGGGAAGAAACTGTAGAAAGAAAATATTGATAATTTACAAAATTGAATTTTCATCAGTTGTGTGTAAAGTGAAATTTTACGCACGCAACGCATGCGCAAAATTCCACTTTCCACAACATTGTGATGAAAAATAGGGTTCGACACTCGTGGAAAAAGTGTCCTTTGACCCTTGAGAGAGTAGGATTCGCCTTCGGCGAGCGCTACACACCTCCCACGGGTCAAAGAGTTACAACTCTGCTTTTCAATTGAAAACAGACATCATCTTTAGAGACATTTGTCATGTTTAGAGACCCTAGCACGCCATTTCTCGACCCGCTCTTTCATTTGAGCCCAAAAAAACATTCATATCTTGTCTGAC